CAGTCTTCGGGATGAATAAGGTCAGACGGTGTGAGTTCATTTCAGTAGGAAGAATTCTCATAGATCCTCCATGAGGGGCAGACGGCCAGAAGCAAGGCTTGAATGGAAATTTATTAAAATGTATTCTGGGAGAAGGGGAGGAACTACACTATTTTTGTATTGCAGTGTTTGTTTTGTCACCACATATAATCATGCTGTTCAGCCACAAAAAACACAGTTTTTAGACAACAGCACAACAGCTGATGGAGGTGCACGTTTAACAAATTCTGGTCATTATTATTCTCTTGTAGTCAAATTGTGCACATCCACTTCCCCATTAACTCATATTAGATCACATACTTGAGAAATTTCTCAAGCATATATAATACATAACAGGGCCACACACACACACACATATATATATATATATATACACACACAGGTAACCCATTAGCATTAGACACTTCCCTACAGACTTTTCCTGTCTTGCACCCGCACGTGCGCGGGATGCAAGGCAGCACAGCAGCAAGCTTTGAACTGTGATTTAAACACAGTACATCAGAAAGCCCCTTTAGACTGACACTAAACCTGTTTAAATCAGTACAACACTAGCTTGCGTCACAATTCTCATCTTTTGTCTCACCTCTCCTCTCCTGCTGGTGATTTCAGGTAACGGCTATAAAAGGGTGAAGAAGTTTACTTAGTCACACTGAGTTTAGGGAGATGAGGAGAGTCTGTGATTCTGTGTGTGGGCAAAGGTGTGTGCGTGTGTGCACAAAATGAAGAAATGTACACACACGCATGCACAGATACACACACACACACATACACCCCTGTTTGATCCAGAGCTAGCCCTGCAGCTCCCAGAGACTCAACAAAAGACCTCCTCTATCCATTGTATGAGCTGTGTGTTTCCCAGGAGAGCTCGGGCTCAGTTAGAGAAGGGCCCCAGATCGCTTTCTCCTGACATGGATGTTTATTCGCTCTATGGTCCAGCAGAACACCCTCAAAAGGGCTGGCCTTCGCATTTTGACGTGCATGACACATAGTTTTTGAAAAGAAAAGAGTGGCTAGAGGGTGCGAGAAAGAAAAAGGGAGAGTGAGTGTCTTGACAGATGAGCAGACATATAAGACAGACAGACAGAGAACAGGCCTGTCTGTGAAAGTGTTCTCAGTGCACTCGTATGAAAAAGAATATTCAGCGCGTTCGCCGCCATCTTATTTGCTCCTTGTCTTTACACTAGTCAGCTTTCTTGTCAACCTTGTTCATGAATGTAGAGCTACCCGGTGGGTGGGTAGAGATTTCTTCCTGATCTTGACAAGCCCTCCCATCCCTAACTGCATACTAATTTCTTCCGAACTACTGAGCCAATGCAAAACAAATACAGTCTGCCAGGGCTTCTATTCAGCTTGGTCTTAGCAGGTTAGCAGATATTATTCTGTCTATTCTGGGTGTGTGATTAATGGGCTGCAAGTTGTATCTTTAGGACTCTCTCAGTGTGTGTTGAGTATAAAATCCTGAGCTAATGAAGGAAAGTGTACGAATAGCTTGAAAATGAATTCACAATTCCTCAAATATTTAATGCGACCAGTTAACGGTTACTTATTCTCACAATCGCAGGTTTTTAGCTGTCAGTGCATTTCACATTATATATTTAATGATCCTTCCTGCTACCATTTCACAGCTGTCTCTATCTCAGAGTTTTGAATGCTATCTGTCAGTGTTCTTCACTTTCCCTGACAGTATCTAAAGGTTTCCTTGAGAGGGAGAGTGCCTGCAGGGTTGACCATACATCTCAGTCGAGAGGCAGGAGTCGACCGCTGAAAACAAACACAGTATGGCGGATACCATCTAATCTACTGAGCGCCATTATCGTTTAAGATATCAGTATACATACCCACATGAACCCACCCTCTAAACCAGAAGCACTCTCTCCCTTTGCTCTCTTTGAGGTAAAAAAAAAAGAAAAAGAAGCTTGTGTGTTGAAACTGAGAGTGAATGTAAGCTATTGTTGTGGTGTAACCGGACTCTATAGCAGGTTGTTTGATCCTGTTTTGGGCCTGAAAAGCTTTTTTCTTACTTGAGCTGCCAGATCAGCTGAGAGGGTCAGACAACAGAGTCTATTTGTAAAGTCCTCAGTCTGTCCGCTTCTGGGTTTTGGGGCAGTTTTTTGTCCTTTTTTTCATCCTCACTTTGTCAGCTCAACTTCCTCATCAAGCTAGAGTCCAAAGTTTTAATTATAATGCAGAGGAGCATGCACTCATTCACATACTCTACTTAGACACAGATGTGTGCTTTTAGGTGCATGGTGCTGCTCTCAAAACTCCATTTATTCCTTTTTCTTTAAACTAGATCTTCCTGTGCCTCTCTCTCTCTACTGTGGAGACACTGGGATTATATTCCTCGCTTTGCACCTCTGGTGTGGCAGTGGCAGAAGGGAGAATGTTACTGGAAAGTGTTTAGATGACAAAAGCTTTCGCAAATTGTTTTGTTAAACCACAATACTTCCCGTGATACATCCAAGCTCTCGTTGTATTCCTGTTTACCCGACATCATTTCATTATTTACATTACATGCCTCTGTATTGTCGACTGTTTTGGGAGCTGACTTGCACTTCTATGCCTTTGTTACTGTTTTGACATTGCACTCTCAATTTATGATCTGTTTAGCGTTCAGCGTGGACAATGTGCATGCAAATATACTCATCCCATTATACTGTCTCTCTTTGTATGTCAGCTTTCTTGCCTAAGAGGTATAGATGTAGAGTTGGTTGGGGGGAAGGGTTTGATAGTGCTGTATGGTTTTTTGGATTTTTTTTTGGAAGGAGATTTGCGCGCACGCACACACACACACACACGCATCTGTGCCGCCAAACCCGTTTCAGACGTGAGAAACTGTACCTTAATTTGCATAAGAATAATTGACACTTCAAATTAGCCTTCCAATCAAAGAGGATTATTTTTTCAGCATATGTGCAGCTACTGAGCACTGCCATGGTGGAGAATATGAAAGGGAGGGCAAAGAGTGTAGGAACGGGAGGGGGCACGTCATAAAAGATTAACCCTTTCACTTCCTCATCTCAGACAGGAGGAGCTGGCGTGCCATTTTATTGCATATATAACTTGATATGCAGTTTAAAAAAGAAAAAAGACTTTTGCAGGAGGAAAAAATGATTTCTCCTATAAGTCAGAGGATACTGTAAGACTCTGGTAGGGCAAAATGGTGCATCTGATTGATAGGTATTTTACGTTTGAAAGCCTTAGGTGCACTGACTGTGTTATGTGCACGATAATACATCTATATTCACCTTGGTGGCACTGGGTACAGGCCAAGAGAGCGCGCGCTATTAGGCAGAGCATATGAGCGTGTGTGTATGTGTGTGTGTGTCATAGTGAATGTGTGCAGATTGAGGGTTTGCCCACATTAAACCATTAAAGCAAGTGCAATGTTGAATTATTGATAATGGCTAATGAAAAGGATCAGTTCAGGATGAACTACAGGCTTAACCACAACCCTGAGGCTAACACACACACACACACACACAAAGTACATGCATATACACCCATTCTCCAGGTGCAGCATTGATTTCAGCTTTTCTCCAACTGGAGTCAAATCGGTACCAATGTGTTTTTTTCACTGTTTATAGCTTACTCGTCATCATTCCATCATCTTTAAAGGCCCATAATGATCCATTCCAGTGAGGAGCAAAGGAGGCCACAGCAAAAAAAATAACTCCGGCTTTCTTCCAGGCCTCCGCGTTTGACAAGCAGAGAGCCTTTTTTAAGGTTGAGCCAGTTTTCAGGGAGAATAGGGACAGAATTCATTTTGGGGGAAGGGGTAGAGAATGGGGACTGAGGGTTTGGCGCCAGCCCCTCTGAAGCGCTCAGCATCCCCCCGCTTATGGGATGGCGGATGTGTCTGGGTGTATCCATGACAACCTCACTGCATGCAGGGATATACCACGGCAATATAGCCAAGGAAAGTTAAGAGAGTAGATGTGTGTGTGTGTGTGTGTGTCTGTGTGTACGTGTCGGTGCAGATCCATTCAGGTCCACATACTGTATCTCAGAGAAAGTATTCTCTCAGTTAGACTGGGAAGCTGCTGAAGTCTCAGTTTGCTGATAGACATATATCTTTAGCCTTTGACTCAGAAGCTAAACATAAATAGATGTGCTCTTTTGTAAGCCAGTTTTTTACTTTGACACAGTTGTAAGTGAAAGCGTCTTCTTGCTAATGGTTCAGCATTTCCTCCTATGTGCTGTGTGTTTTATGCTTTCGCAGATACAGACAGGTGCACCCTCATGTGCACTCAGGTCGCTGCCTAACAAACATTAAAACACAGACTAACACATTCTCAGACACAAAGTCACACAATCACTCTCATGAGTCTTGCATAGCTCAAGCTGTGTTATAATAATCCCATCTGGGATGGCCTGGATTCTCACTCAGAAAGTACCTCATAAAGTAGCACATATATGTGTTTCAGTGTGTGTGTGTGTGTGTGTGTGAGAGAGAGAGAGAGAGAGAGAGAGACAGCACAAGGGAGACAGTGCACAAGAGTGAGACAGAGGAAGATGCTTTCTGTGACATGGAATATATACTGCTTTATATTTTAAATTCACCTTTCTGTCCATACTCAAGCACAAATGCACACAAGCACACACTCACAGATGTAGAGTCAAACTCAGATCCTGCGGGAGTGTATTTTTAACCCCAACTGCCTGTGCTTTTGCTGAGGGGTTAAAGGGCCGAATGGAGAATCAAGTAAATAATTCACAATAGCTGAAACTCTTTCGATGTAACCTCAGAATGAACGGGGGAGGGATACCAAAGAGACTTAGTTATGTAGTGGCACAATATAGTCTTGCAAAATCCTGCTTTGACTTAACGGTAAAAAGAAACAAGTAGGTCAATAAGTGGAAAGGCCCCTCACCTTCTGATTAAGTCTAGTTACATGGAACAACTGTGAAATGTCTTCATATATACAGCGCTAAACAATATACCTGTCCTGTTATTTCAGGTTTGATGGACCAGAAGTCCATCATGATCCACAAACATCTGGAATAATGACCGGAGTCTCCGACTAAGGACATGGAATACATTCTGCTGATCTCAGAGGTAACCGAACTCGCTCCATTGTTACATGGCCTGCTCTGTGCATCCTTTTTCTCAGAACATTTGATATGGAGGTGTCTGTAAGACACTTTTGAGTGACATTGCCTCTGTCAAATGGCTGATTGAAGGAGACACAGAGAGAAATGCTGTGCTAATGAAATCATCTGACCCACATCCTTTCGTGCTATCCATTTCTCCAAAGATACAGAAAGGGCATTTATACAGGTAAACCATGACTGGTCCCTGAAGTGAAAGAGGGGGTTTTTCAGAAGGAAGAGGAGCATCCATTATTTACTATACTGAGGTTGCTAGACACTTAAGAGATAATGCAGTGCTTCAAGCATACAAAACATAGAGCCTCCTTGGTGCTGGTGAGGCCATTGTTGTGTGTTTTGAACATGTCTGTTTCCATCCATACTGACAGATGAAAAAGAATGTGTCTCCCAAAGGTTCAGAAGCTTGGACAGAGATAGACAGAGAACGGAGGAGAGGCAGGCAATGGGATGGTGGAGAGATGTGTTTGTGTGTGTGTTACATCTCTGTGGATGTTCGTTTTTGTGTCTGTGCATCTGTATGTCTGTTTATTACCCCCAGTTTGTTTTTCGGTATCTGCTCATGCACTTATATGTTGAAAAACATATCCAGTCATAGACTGCATAATGCAAAATAAACAGTCTTATTTAGTGCATGTGCCTGTCTATACATACATCATGTTCCTGCTGACTTTGTATAAATGTTCTCTTCCAGTTCTAATAGACTTCAGTCAGGTCTTATTCTCTATAGATTAGCAGCATCACTTTCTCCCTCCTGGAGACTGGAAGCATCTGACTGTTGTCTACTGGGAGTAGTTAGCAGAAGGAGACTAAGGCATAAAACTCCTCCTACAACTTGGGCAACACCAGATACTACTTTCTGCCTTTGTCAATTTCCTGGGGGACACTTTGACATGAAATCCTTTTTATTTTTTTGTGGATGAGGAGAGAGCACTCCCCAAAATTCCAGTGTTTTTCTGCATAAATGCGCATTGTGATGGAGAGCACGACAACTATACATGTTTACAGATCCGCTCAGGGAAATTCCAAGTCACCGAACAATATCCGTAAACTAAAATATAGATGTGTGCATGTGTGTGTATTTTATAACATAAATGATGAAAATAGTGACAAGGGGACCTATTATGCTCATATTTCAATGCTTATGCTATTATGCTCATATTTGGAATCTACTAGTGTTTATGGCTAAAACATATTGGTTCAGTCCCTGAATTCAACCCCTGTATAATAAAAAAGAAAAAAATGTTTTTAACTCCTCTCCCTTTAAGGCCAACCTCCTTTTAAATAAACTGTCTTCTGATTGGCTACTCCTCACAAGCAGAAAGCAGGCCAGGCTGCTGTGCTAACAGCCAAAGATGTTGGACTGAGGTGACCGCATTAAGGATGATATCACTGTCTTTGACATCATATAGATCCAAGACTGCAACAAAACTTGCACTTTCACTGTTTGAGACTTTGGCCATCAACCAGTATCATAAAGCTAAAAATGGGAAGATCATATTTCACAACTCTTGGGTCTGCTTTCTCAAAATGTCTCTCTCTGAATTTTACAGTCAATGAAATCTTACGACAACCAAGAAAACGAAGGCTAAAACTATTAAAAATGCCCTAGTTCGTAAAAGATGCAAAACTCTCTTTGGGACATTTGAAATAATAAAGTTATAAGAACATATTACAATATTTTACCCTTTAAGTATTCATCTTGAAGCACGAGTTTTCACAGTGTGCTTCATCTCAGTCTTTCTGTTTTTTCTTGAAATATTTTACACTTTGGTTGAAAGTTTTTGAAAGAGGCAAATACAGCGGATCATCCTTATAGGCATAAAACTGCAGTGTCAGCAGAGGACATCAGGAGGATGCATAGAAAGGCACATGTAGTTTTGACTGCGATCAGCTGCCACAAACAGACAGGCAGGCAGTGTTTGCCCTTGAGGAGTTGTGAACAGACAGGGTGGTGTGTTTGAGTTGTCTGAATCCACCTCCCTTCATCTTTTGGAGTCAGGCTGAGTTGGACTGCTGATGGCCCAGGGACCCCATGCCAGCCCTGAACTATTTTGTACTGTCAGCCAAACATCAGACAAACTTGTTCAAGGAAACATGTCTGGCCAAAACACTACATCCATAAATTCTTGTTTTCTCTGAAAAAAAACTTTGGGGAGTTACTGATTTATTGCAGCTTGTAAAGGTGTAGTGCACTCTTAAAGCTATTTCAAGTGGTCAGTTAAATCAGCAAACAGCAGTCACAGGTTCATAAAATGACATGCTTTGTTGTCTTTGTAGTCTGATGCAGCTGACGAGACACTCAGCCACCCTTACTGTCTCAAATGACCCCAGCTGTTCTGTACAGCCTATACATTTGTATTGGGCCCCTTAATACCTTCCATGCTTGTCAACGAGCTCTATAGTTTCGAGGAAATTTAATACCATAATGTCTTTTTGGAGGAAGGGAGTGTCGGGTATGGCAGGAGTAATGGAGGAAAGGCTGGAAATGCAGGTAACCCAGGTTAGGCTGAGGGTACAGGGATCCGGTAAGGCGTTCCCCAGACCTTAGAGTCTTCTAGGCTTCTCTATTAGAGAATAATAAGCAGCTGTAACCCTGAGACACTCCCAGGCCTGTGTCCTCAGCTACAAAAACCTCCACTGGGCTTCTTATCAGGTTCTAAGGATATCATGTAAGACAATACATGTGAGAAGTGCAGGGAGAACAATAGGAGGAAAGTGCAGTGTGATATGAGGGGGACTAATGTCAGCGGATATTGCTGAGGCCTTTGTCGCCTTCAAGTACACTGGGAACTCGCAGCTCACTGAGCTCCTTTCATTCAAGGCTCATGCTCTGGGATGTGATGAAACTCTACAACAAATGCCGTCCCTCACGCTTGATGGCAAACTGTAAACACGGAGGTTATGTGTTTGTTGTGTATGAAGCATAACTCACTCTTTCCCCAATCTTGGTGGAAAAATTGTGTTTACTGAAAGCTAAAGAGTATTTCCTAAACGTTGTGTGCTGTACATTTGTTTCCACGCAGCATCAATATTTTTCTTTAAAACTGTAATTAATAAACTCCTGTGATAAAATCGAACACTGTTGTAATGATAAACTCATATTTCTCTTCTATTTCTTTTTCTTTGTATTTCTCTTTTTTTAGGTAAATAAGTTATCCTGATTAAGAAGAACGGAGCCAAACTTACCACAGCCTGAAAATAGTACTTACTGTGCCTTTGTTCTGATGGGTATCATATTTTCTTTTCTTTTTTTTAATGGAAAAACACTTCTTAAAATAAGATGAAAATATTCTACACATTAAAACATGTATTTATTTCATGTCAGTGATTGAATTTAACAAGTATATTTTCTGACAGCTAAATAAAGACTTTTTCCCCCATAAGTGATGTTTTAAGTGTGAGTTATTTCTTCCTTTCTGTTCAGTGCTGTGGCACTCCAGGTAAAGAACAATGTGCTTGACATAATTGGGTCCTATGTGGTTATGAAAAGAGCATGCACACTGATAAAAGCTGGCAGTGTGATCAAAGCACTATGTGTCCTGATCAAATCACACACCTGACACAGTTGTAGTTTTTCCAGACAAACTTACGAAATGTAGAGGAAAGAAATTTCAGTCGGCGCCAAGAAGCCTTCCTCTTGAAAATCTCTGTCATCCAACACTGTGAACCATTTTGACACGCTGCTCCTTGTCTGTCAAATCAAGCGTAAGTGCATGTGCAATAATTAAGAATTACAATAATTATTATTTTTGTCTATATCTCCTTTGGGGGGGGGGGGGGGGATGTACAGTCTGACTTCTGTTTGTGCTGTCAAGGTGTCTATATAATTATATCCACACGCTAAATTACAAAGACAAATTAGGATCACAATGTCTTACAAATTGTTTGGTATAGAAACAATTTGGTTTTATCTTTTATTACTCAGTTTTTATGTCCTTCCTGTTGCACAACTACCAGTATACAGCACACCAGGCTACGAACCAATAACATCATAACACTTCATGAGGTAAGTAGAAAGCTAATGTTTGACACTGGAAAATGCAAACTGGACATGTAAAGGACACACACATACAGACAAACTCATACTGACGTCCTGCGTTTTCCCACAGTATCCAAACACCAGCGTCTGGTGAAGTACCTTTTAAAAATACCACTAAGTGTAAAAACCGACTTTATTTTTCATTTCTGTGCAGCTCTCTAGTCTATTAAGTTGTCATTTTAAGGGCTTTCCTTGCTTTCCAGTTAGCAACATCAATTGAAACTGCTGTAAACTGTAATTGATTAAGTGATGGCTCGAGCTCACTTGTAGCATTTGTGTAAAAAAAATAATATGACATAGAAACCTGCGTATATTCCTCGATTATTCTATTTTAGCGTTGTCTAGATCTTAACTAGTTTAATATTCGGTTTCATTTATAGTTTTAAGGGCCTCTAGTTAAAACACAGCACAGCACAAAACACCAAATTAACCACAATTCAATGTCAAAATATTCCAGTAGTCTTTCTTTCTTATAGAAAGAATAAAATTGAGTAAATTTGAGGCTTAAATGTTCTCCGCCTGAATACATGCCTCTATAACCCTCAAAGATATCAACTGTACAACAACTGCCAAACTCGCTTTCAAGTATCAGCAATATAACTGCAATGCACTGCAGTACAAAAGGATGTTACACCAAAAGATAGAAGTCACAAGCGTAATTCCACCTCTTTGGAAATGTTTTTGTTTCAGAAGAAGGAGCATATAAAAACTGTGGTATGTAAACTTTCCCTTGAAAAGCCGCTGAATAAAATTCAGCTAACTCACAAGGGACATCACCCAGCAGGGGCCGTAAGTTAAACAACCTCAGAACAACTTTAATTTTGTATATTTTTATCAAACAAGGCTAAAGGCCAGTGCAAAACCTTCTTTTTATAAAATAAATGGTAAATGGCCTGTATTTATATAGCGCTTTACTAGTCCCTAAGGACCCCAAAGCGCTTTACATATCCAGTCATCCACCCATTCACGCACACATTCACACACTGGTGATGGCAAGCTACATTGTAGCCACAGCCACCCTGGGGTGCACTGACAGAGGCGAGGCTGCCGGACACTGGCGCCACCAGGCCCTCTGACCACCACCAGTAGGCAACGGGTGAAGTGTCTTGCCCAAGGACACAACGACCGAGACTGTCCAAGCCGGGGCTCGAACCGGCAACCTTCCGATTACAAGGCGAACTCCTCTTGAGCCACGATCGCCCATGTTAAATTTGATGTTATTTAACGACTGAGAGGACACAGTTATGTTTGTAGCTGGATTCCTTATACACGCATTTGTAGGAGTGCAAAATTTGGAGAGGAGCTTATTTAAAGGAATCATGCAAACTTAATTTACAAAGATTTTCACAAGGAATCTACTGCAAAGTACATTGACTGCAATACTGAAAAAAACCCATCATATTTTGAGCCTGATTTGGGTCTGATATTTGCTGCCAGGAGTGGTAATTTTTGTCGAATGCCAAGGGAATATTTTAAGCACAAGATACTGACACAGGTGAATGGCTCAATGTCGTGAGTGCAGAGCTTTTTACTGACTCCCAATATTTGATTTGTCAAACTACAGAGATTTCAGCAGGTCAAAGGTGTGTTTTTGATTAATGCCTGACTCTCACAATATGCACAATGAACTTTAATAAATACTTGCAACCCTGTATGGCAAAAACAAGAGTAATACAAGCAATTATGCATAATCATTCAATCAAAATGCTTAAGGTAATTTTCTGTGTTACCCTACTCACCCTACAGGACAGCTGTCACACAAGATTTACCGGTGAAATAGTTTTCACCAAAGCACACTATTTAGTTTCTTAGAACTTTAAAGTTTGCCCTTACATCTTAAGAAACTGCTCCCTCATCAGGTCTGTTCATTAGTGATGCTAATTTAAAGTACTACTGTTGCCTTGTGTTGGTCACTATTACAAGGAACTGCCTGTGAAAGCCATCTTATCTTTTTAAGTCGCTCAGTAGATTGTTCGCACACTTCCCACTGCCCAGTCTCACATTACTTTGATCTGCATAGTAACTCTGGTCCTTCATGGCTAAAAGGGAGGATCACTTAATAATTACTCTGCAATTAAATATTTATTTTTCACCCTGACTACTCATTATTTGCTGATTATGTATGTAATATGTGAGATAAATACATTCCATTTGGACCAAATCATTGTCTCTGTGATTCTGCACAGAATTGGGGGTCAATAAAATTAAGGCTTTTCTTATGAATTAGACTGATACATTTATTTTAATTGGTTCAATTCATTAATATGAATCTGGTGTCACTGAAAATCCAAAGTGCCACACTCTTCATTCTTCCCTCTCTTTTTCTAATCACATTAATTTTCTCTGCTTCTCCCTACTTAACATTCATTGTCACTATTTTTCTCACACTTACCCCATTTTCATTTCCTTTACCAGCATCATTCTTCCCTTCTTTCCTTCACCCATCTTTCAGGCTCATCTGTCCTCACTTGTCCTCTCCCACACTAAACCATTCTTTTATCGCCCCTCTCATTCTTTTCCTCCCTCTCTCTCTCTTTTCCTCTCTCTCACTTCTATTTTTCTCCCTCTCAGATGTCAGATCACAGTCTAGTCTTCCGCTTGCCCTGTCATCACATTTTTCACACAGCCCCATCCCTTAATTGGGCCTGTATCATCATATCATATCATGTAGAATACCTGATCACAGCAAGAGATGAAAGATGGCCTCCAACTATCCCCACACAGACAGACTGACACACATAAAAACATACACATTACACACAGCCGCGCTCACACGGATGCACGTCAGTGGTCATATGGGACATGAATCTAAGCTGAGGGTTGTGTCTGTGTAAATTTTTGCTCCTCGTGTTTGCAGCACATTGTCGATGTGATCGTTACAGTGTGACAGGTGAGATGGTGTGTATTCCACGAGTGTCCAATGATGTTTGTATCAACTGCTAGTGGCTTTTGTGATGAGACAAAGGATGCCCTGGAGCCAGCGGTGTCACATCTGCAGGTAACTATGGCAAAATAAAGGAAGCCTCAACAACAACTGTCAGAGGAGTGTTAAAATAGCTCAAACATGTCTTGGTGTCAGTTTGAAAGATCCAACATGAAATCTTGTGCAAGCTCCCCTGTCATTCCTGCAGCTGGTAAAAACGACTTAGCACTGTAGCGGTTAACTATATAATGAGCTTCTCATTCACTTTATGTTCTTCCAGATAACAAAGGTAACATATTTATAAATTAATTTTATCCAAGTCTTAATTATGTTTATGACTTAACTGATAAGCATATTATATCCCCATTTAGGTCCATGGTAATAAATAAGAAAAGAATGGGAAATAGAACTGGGCAAAACTTTGTTAGCTTTTGCATGCATTGGGCATTCACTGTTATAACACAGTCCAACTCATGTTGTTTCTAAGGGTATAACTATTATTATTACAGAGAGGCAGAACTGATAGCATTTGTTGCTCAGGTTCCACATTAACAGGGTTGTTGTTAACCATAGCTGCTAGCTGCTACCTTAATGATAATACACAGCTAATGTGACTATGAGATAATTGCTAACAGTTAAACGTCTAATGTAAACATCTGCACCAGCAATGTTAATACTTATGATAACTTTTTAACATGTAAATGTTGAAATGGGAACTGTACTGACCTCTCCAAAGTCCTCAGGAAGAGTTCCTCAATATTGTGAACACAGCTAGCGCTAGAACAGTTAGTTAGTGTATAGGCTGTGCGTCTGTCTGTAAAGTTCTGAATTAGCTGGAGGTGAAGTTAACATCAATAATACTACAGTACGTGTGGAATCTAATCCACAAATCTTTACTATCAACTACTATCTTTTTCTTCTTCTGTCAGCTGCTACTTTTAGTGGTCACCACATCTGCCTCCATTTTATCCTATCTTAGGCTACGTCCACACGTACACGGGTATTTTTGAAAACGGAGATTTTCCATTTTCGTTTTAAAAAATAATCCCGTCCACACGTAAACGCAGAAATGAAGGAAAACGCTGCTAGGAACATGCCAAAGCAACAGGTGGCGATATATTCCTAAATGTTGGCCAATCAGAAGTCTAGAAGCCTCGGTGGGAAATAGTAAACAAGGATGGGGCATAGAAGCAGAACCGAGTCGTATGTGTGGAGGGACAGTAATTGTGTGTGTATATGTAAGCATTTAAACACTGCGGAGAGTACAATTAACAGTAACAGTATTGTAGAAATTTATTTCACCGAAACAATAACGTGGCGCACAGTGTGACATTAAAAAAGGTGCACACCTTTGACGCTGCGTTTTCTCAGTTTTTCTTGTCCACACGTAAATGCAAAAACGGAGTTTTCAAAAATATCCA